AATTAGGACCATATTAAAATTTACATTCAAAGCATCCATCTCTATTATTATAATTTCCATCATCACATTATTCTGTTGAAAATTTAGCTACTTTACCATCTCCAAAATTTTGATAGAAACCATAATCTAACAATTGCCAACCATCAAGACTTTAATAACATTGACTTCCATTACAATATAAGCATTCCAATTAGCAACTTGATTAGCATTTATAGCATACATCAAACTATATATTGTTCTTATCATCACAAAATTCTTATTCTAATACAATCCCATCATTACATATGGGATTGCGTCTGGATTAATTATTTTACAATTCATAAAATCTTTCACATTTGAAACATTTATCAAATAAACTTTCTTTACAATTTTGTATTACAGGTATTCTAAATTAATTATAAAAATATCCAAATATTCCAAATTCATATAGACTGCATGTAAGATTGCTTATCTATTTATATTTATAATTTAAGTTATTAATATAAATAGATTATGTTAGTAATTACCATTCTCAATCAAATTAATTATACTATTATTAAAACTTTTATTTTCTTAATCTTCCTAACTCTTAGAACCATTGCAAATATATTACAATATCCATATAATAATTCATATTTTGGTTAACATTATTTAGATTTACCAAATTTAGCATATATTACAATTCAATAGACAAGAATATTTACATTTGTGGCAACCATCATACACTATTTTATTCCCATCATCACACTCCTCGTCACATGTGATAAGAAAGTCTCCACTTATCCTTTACGATACTATTTTAATCTTTTTTCATTTATTTAATACTAAGAATCACAAGTATAAAACAATTATGTTTAATCTTTTATATTTTAATAGCATTCTAATGAATCATACAAATATTAGTGCGATTTGGATTTTTTTGTGTAATTGGTATTTTTAGATTAAAATTGTAATTATAAGAATAGTTTTCATATTCTAAGTATGAAGTAATCAATTTCAAACATTACCCAAATTAACAGATTAAACAATTTTGTTAACAGGAGTATTTACATTAAAAACACCCATCATATTGATTTGTGCTACCATGATCACATTCTTCAAAATAAGTAATAATTAATCACCACATATCGGTAAACGATTCTTATTTATTCATAATATTGCACCCTTGTTAACTTATAATCATACTCCTCTAACACAATTTGTACAACCTACAACACAATCATAAATTTTAGCTAAGTATCTGTCAAATTGATAGATATTTCCATCAAAACAATTATAATCATTTACAATTGCTCGAATAAATAATTAAAAATCTCTCATTGAAAGATAATAAGGTACTTCTCCCTCAACTGAAATAGGATCTACTCTAATTGTTTAATTGTTAGAGTGACCGAATTTTATTTATGCCTATATTATTGAATATTGATCTAATTTGTGATCAAATAATTATAGTCCTAATTAGCAAACAAATATATAGATAAATAAAATAAGCTAAATAATTAATAAGGATTATTATTAAATAAATTTGTTGATAAATTTTTTGTTAAATATATAACAAACCTAAAGGAACCCTAAGTTTGATAAGTAATTAAGATTCAGAAGTAGGATAGGTAGAAAAAGTAATGATGAATATTTTGAATTAACAAAGTTATTTTCAACTCTAATTTGCGTAATGAAAGGGACTTTAATAAATTAAATAATATCAAATTTAAGATATTTATAATCTATTTTTAAAGGCTTGAAGTGTTTTAATGAAATTAGATAAGTTAACAAATCCTACAGATCAAGCATAACCAGGATTACTTTAAATATTAGCTAATGCAATTTAATCAGGTGATTCTAATACAGTTGAATTAAGCTAAAAAGGTCATAGAAAAACTATGAGTTTAGTAAGCAAATAAACTAATATTTTATTTCTTCTAAATTATTCTGAATGTAATGGTTAAATAGATGAAAATATTCCTATATTCATATGCAATCATTAGATAGCTCAGCTTGGTTTTCATTTTTATCATATGTGATTATTGCAACTATCCAATAGGAATCTACCAAAGTGAACAGAAACAAAATCAAAAGAAAAGATCAATAAGCTGCTTAGACTTATTAGGAATTTTTAGAAAAACAGCGAAGGAGGATGCAATCCAAAGAAGAATTTGAAGAAAAATGAAACCTTGGGAAATTCATCATCTTCTTGGAGATTATTGTTAAAGTTGAGAGTAAAATTTTAACTTAATTATATAGAACACAAAATATATTTTTAATTAAAATCAGATTAGATGTAAATAAATAAGCAGCAGTTATAGAATTTAGATTTATTGAAATTACAAAATTAATTTCGAAACATACTTAAAGTACAGAACTCAATAGTAATTTAATAATATAAATATATTCTAATATTAAGGTACTACTTTGATAGATGAATTATTAAATATTGTGTGACATCTTAAGAATGGAAAATAAATGCTTAAATATTTAAATTGATATTTTCTGAAACTCTCAATATTTATACAAATATTGTAATGTTGGAAGACAAATCAAATGACAAATCTACCAGATTAAAGATATACTTAAATTAGATTTTGAATCAAATAAAATAAATGTATATAGTTGCTAAGTCTCAAGATTAATTCACTTAGTTTACCCTCTTAATTGAAGCCTAAACTTATGCAATTCTTATTTCAAGCAAACAAAAGAATAAGGAAACAATATTGTTAGTTGAGAAGAAGAAGACTTTTAAATATTCTATAAACAGTAGAAGTAACAACTTAATCATATGAAAATTGTACTATGATTATTAGATTATTCATTACTTTAATTAAATTGCCATAACCATATGTTTTAAATTTGTAATTATAACAATAGAATTATTAAAACAAACAACGATTACTTTTTATTTTTTGATTTATCAGCTAATGTTTAGAACTTAAAGTATTTTATTGTGAAAATAATTATCATCTAAAACATTGATTAATTGACATCAAGTCGTATAGTTAATTTTATTGGTTAGACAACATTATCTACACCTCAAGCAATTAGTTCATTAGCCTATAAATTGATTTAAGATATTCATCTCAAATTGTAGAAATTAATTGTGTTGAAAATGTATTTATACCTTTATTAAGTTTCGAAGTATAGGTTGACTTCACCATCGATATTTGGTATAAAGAAAGTTAAATATTTGTTGGAGCTAGAACAAAATTGAGTATAATCAGCTATTTTATAAGTTATTATGTTCAACTCTCTTTAGAAAGAAGTAAGATGGATTAAGGAAATGGAGTTATAATAAGAAGGCTCATATTTAATTCTATAGAAGGGGCCCTTTTTAAACTTATTATTTGGAAAGAATAATAATCAAAATGAAAATTATATAATTAGATTGTTTAGTACATAAAAATTTGTAATTTTAATTAGTGAATTTAACATGATTATTATCTAGGAGAAGTGTATAATTCTAGAGAATGGTCATAATTTGGATTTACTTATGAGAAAGATAGAGTGAATTATTTATT